AAAATCCAACAGCATGGACAACACTCTATCACGGTTATGCAACCCTTCCTACTCTGTTCCTTAAAGCTGCTGCCTGGCATACATTTTTAAAGGAAACCATCATTAACATGTTTTAATCTGTCATAAAGGGACTTCTAGATTCATACCTATACACCAGCGAGTGGATCAGTAACTTATTTAGCATACATGTGACTGAGAAACGGATCTCGATCAGGCAGGGGAGGCACTGTGAGATCAGAGAAGCACAGCTTATTTTCACCTCTAGGTTCTGATTCCACTTCATTGCACAGCGGTTATACCTTCATGTTACCCAGAACGATACCTCTGACAAAGTTGAAAGTCTACAGGACATTATTTAACAAAAATGTTTTTCCCCCGAGTTATTTTTCTAAAAAAATATCTGTTCCATCCATAGTGGGTGCATGCAGTCTTCCAAAAAATAAACACTGCTTCCTGAAGATACCTGTAGGCAACCTAGGATGCTGCAACACCCAAACTGCAAAGCACTAGCCTAATGAATGCTGTTGTTCAGTTGCTAAGTCATGTCCTGCTCTTGTGAGACCTACAGACTATAGTCTGCCAGGCTTCTCTAGGTCCATGGGATTTTCCAGGCAAGAATACTGGAGCAGGCTGCCATTTCCTTCTCCAGGGGATCCTCCTGACCCAGGGATGAAACCCGAATCTCCTGCACTGGTAGGTGGCAAAACAGTGGAGTCTACCACTGGCCACCAGGGAAGGCTAGCCTAATGAATAGGAGGGACAGAACTACCAACACTGTCTATATGCTCGCCAAAGACAATTAACTTATCTCTTCAATGAGAAATAGGGCTTTCTCAGGTGGCCCTAGCGGTAAAGAACCCGCCTGCCAATGCAAGAGACACGAGAGATGCAGGTTTGATCTCTGGGTTGGGTTGGGAAGATACCCTGGAGTAGGAAATGGCAACCCACTCCAGTATTTAAAGAACCCGCCTGCCAATGCAAGAGACACGAGAGATGCAGGTTTGATCTCTGGGTTGGGTTGGGAAGATACCCTGGAGTAGGAAATGGCAACCCACTCCAGTATTCTTGCCTGGAGAATCCTATGGACAGAGGAGCCCAGCAGGCTATAGTCCATGGGGTCGCAAAGAGTCGGACACGACTGAAGCGACTTAGCATGCACACATAATGAGAAATAACTTCCACACTAATGTCCTCTAAAAAAAACTAGAAGTGTTATTCACCTCTTGTGACAAATGCTGAAGAATAACTCACCTTGAAAACATAAACAGACAAATGACTTAGAGGGAACACAACTGAATTTAAAATCTTATGTTGCACTAAACTGTACATTTAAAACTGATTAAAAATGGTAAGTTTTATGTTATGTATATCACACCACAATTAAACTCTGTTCTCAATCCTGATGGTTTTTGTTGGGGAAAAAATAAATCTATCAGATTACATTACAGGATGAGAAACCATTAAATTGAATGTTTTTAAATTATATATGGTTGAAAACTTCTAGTGATTTGTATTAATAGAGACTTTCTGACCTTTTAAGGAAGGTGTTTATTAGATATTCTTCTCTAAGGAGGACACAAACAAATGAAAAAAGCTTAAATTACAGACAGAAAGATTTTTGACATAATTCTAACTAGGAAGGTAATTAAACACTACAATAAGGTACCATGCAAATCTCTGCCCTTGAGGGTTCAAGAATAAGCTATCTTGGAAGAGTTAAATGCAATCTTGCAGGAAAAACTGGAATGAACCAGAGAATCTTAAGTCAGCTTCGAGTTTCAAAATTCCAAGTTCTATACTCATAGCTTAATAGTGTCTTGAGAAAACATTCCACCTATAGAAAGTTAGTCTAATACACAATTAGCTTGTGTAATACACAATCTAATACACAATCTCAGCTTGGCTTCAGATACTGGGTTCCTTCACAGTACCATTTATGTGCTTTATATACTCAGGAACTGAAAATTGACTACTTTTGTTAAGAGGCAGTTCCACCAACCTCTGGCAACAGAGCTGCCAGCTCAGGTATAAACAGTACAAAACTGAAATAATACTGAGTTCTAAAATAAACAGAAATACCTACATAATGCACATCCAACCTAAGACTTTAAAAAAAAAAGATCCGTTTACAGGGTAGGTAATTTATAAGGCCAAAACACTCAATTTTGTCAGTTTTCAACAGTTTCTTAAAAAGTTGCTGGTTAACAACAGAAAATAAATTCTTACTTTTGAAAACAAACACATGGTCTTTCCAAATAGGGTTTTATTTTAGAAGACTCATTTTAAGCCTTCATTTTAAAACTATTTTTGTTTTACCACATTTTTTTAAACCATCACTAGATAACTGAATGGCGGTTATTTATTACGACCCGAAACAGGCCCTTAGGAAGTCACAGTAAGGTTAATCATCTCAAATCAACAGGTTAGCCACAGCAATTTGAGAGAAGTTGTGGCAACCTGTATCAGGGCTATTTCAAAAGTTTTCAAAGTCAGACATTAAATGACGCTTAAAAACAATATATTTCTAGACTTTAGATATTTAACACACAAAAATTTTGACCAAGTATGCATTCATGTATGTATTTTAGCTAGACTATTAATTATAATGAGCATCTGTTTAAAATAAAAATCTAACAAGACAAATTTAGCCAGGTGAACACTGGAATCAAAACACAATACTGGATTATGAAGCTAACGGCTTTCATTGGAAAAAGAATAACAAGCCTTACTTCCTTCCGTTCACAAATTTTTCACTTTATAATCAAAGAAAATAAATTCACATATGACTTCCACAGTCAAAAAAAAATAGGTAATGTATTTACAGCTGAGTTATCACTTAATAGTCTGGATTCTTAAGCTACTGACTTCTAACTGCTTTAAAACCACAATACATTTTTAATGGCTCACTCCTTCCCTCAGAAATGTATCACACCTTGTTTTACACAGAGATAACATCTTTTCAGAACACATGCTACTCTGTCACTAAGCTTAATAATTTTTAGATAAAATTCAAATAAAATTTTTATAATGCAACCATAATTTTTTTTTCTTATCCACACTGAGCCTCACCTTTCACAACACTTAAAAACAATCTTAGATGGTACACATATATACCTCAAGCATATAAAGCTTATTACATTGTTTTTGTAGCCATAATAATTGGACGAATAAATACTGACTCTAAAAAACTAAAAACTTATTAGGGCAGGATGTAAATGGTACAATTCACAAGAGGGTAGGGAGAAATAATGATTTCTACCAAACTGGCAGCAAAAATATGCCAAGTTTCCTATACTGAACTAGTGTAAACAAGGAAGAAAAGGACCTGGGGGTGGGAAGCAGGCAGGCAAGGGCACAACTCTCCTCAAGATATAGCTTTACTTCCAAATTTCACCAGGGTAATACCTCTGCTGTGTTTTCAATAACCCCTGTCACTCTCTATTAAACACACAGGCTTGGTGTTCAGAAAACGACTGGAAGCTGTAGTCCCTGTTGGACATAAAAGTGGGGATCAGAAATACTTCTCAACATCTAGGAAGTCAACCCCACTCTTACTAAAGCAACTTTAAAGATAAAACAACAGGAATCACCAATGATGCTACACACAAAAATATTCACACATCACCTTTGGAGCCACCACAGCTACAAAACTCGCATTTATAAGATGAGCACCACTCAGGATAGGGTTGGATGAGAAAGGGGATAAAGACAAAGCTTACAGACTCTTTCTCTGGCATTGCTTGAGGCATCCAGTAGACACGGAATAAAGGGGAGCCTGGCTCTAGAAGTCATGCCAAAAGAAACAAGATTCCACATGCCAGGAGACTGAGTACCCAACACAGAGAGCAAAGGGCAATCATCTCACGGCCTTCTGACCAAAGAGAGATGAGCTGCTTCACCTGAAATCCTTTCAAAGGAAGTCTAATGGTCTCCACTTCATCACTCACCTTGAGTGAACTCGACAACCCCTCCTCAGAGAAGAAGGGGAAACCTTGCTTATCAGAAATAGCAAATGCTCCACCCAAAACCAAGAAACACTCCTGTAGTCTAAGTTATGGCCTTCTGCCCCAGATCAGTCTTCTACTAGAAGACTCCAAGCCAAAGTCAAGTTCTCCATTTTCCCAAACATCTAACCACCCAGCATTTTTTTTCCCCGTAAGTGCCTCTGAGATAACCCCCTCTCCCTTCCCGCACTCTGAAGCCCAGGGCTCCAATCCCGTCAGAAAAGTTCCCTCCCTCCTCTCCTTCACTTTTCTTCAGGTTTTCCGCAGACCCTGCCCCCCGGGTCTAGCACGCCCGGTCCTCCATTAGTAGATCCCACCCCTTCCCTGGCACAGCTCTTCGGAAAGTCCTCTTTCTTACCCTCCTCACTTGTCCTGTCCTCCCCTGTAAAGTTTTCCCCTTTTTTCCTGTCTGTTCTCGAATGGAGACACACACTTTAAGAAAGACGCACAATGATCTGTTCTCAGTTCTTAACTCCCAAGTCTCACTCGTGCTCCAGGTTCTGCCACAGCACCCAATTCTCTCCCGGAGTTTTCCCTCAAACCCCGTCATCTTCAGCCTCTAACTCCATACCCCAAGCTTTTTTTCCACTCCGCAAATTCGGATTTTCCGCTTTACTTTTAGCCAACGCCACGGCCCCCTTCTTCCCAGCTGGACCCCGTTCCTCGATGCTCAAGCCCTTTTCCTCCTCTTCCCACGTTCCTCGGCCGCTAATAACACTCCTCGGAACCTCAGCACCAGCCCCCACACCTCCCTTCCGCCTCTCCTGCCCTCCGTGGCCCCCCCAACTCTCCTCCTATGTCCACCTCCAGCCCTGCTCGGGCCCCTAATTCCTCCCAGGCCCCGAGGGCTCCCCACACGCCCTCCCCGCCCCTGAAGAGGGGTGTCCCTCAGAGCCCGCCCGGCCCGCCCTGCCGCCAAGCTCGGGTGTCCCTTCCCTTCCCCTCGGGGCCCCGAGGCCGCTGCCAGGGGCTGGCGCGGCGGCGGAGCCGGCTCACCAGTTGGTCATGTCCAGGAAGAAGGCGCAGCCGGCCGGGTTGAGCTGGAAGCCGAGCAATCGCTGAAACTCGGAGATGAGCACGTCCTTGTCCGTGGTGCCCAGGCAGCTGAACTTCTGCATCAGCTCGGGGTCCAGGTCCACGTCCATACCCTCCATGGCTGGGGCCGGACACTCACTTCCCCGCCTCCTCACAACCAAGCAGCCGCCGCGCCGCCGGGCCCGGGGACCGGGAGGGGGCCCGCTGCTAGCTGGCGCCGCGAGCCCGCTCCGCTGAGGTAGGCCCCGGGCCTCTCACCGCCTCATCGGGGTAAACTCTCTCAGCCGCTCACTCGCTCTCGCGCTCCCCCCCCTCCCACCCCCCCCGGCGCCGCCGCCTCCGCCTCCGCCGCCGCCGCCTCTAGCTGCGCCGCCGCCTCCGCCTCCTCCCGCGCCGCGCCCACTGCGCAAGCGTCGCCCGCCTAGGCCCCGCCCCTTCCTCTATCGGAGGCCCGCCCTCAGTGGCGTCACAACCCCGTGACGTCCCCCGCGTGACCTCACCGTGGTGGGGCGAGGGGGCGGGCGGAGGGAAGGAGGAAGGGGAAGGCCGGGCGGCGCGGGGAGGTGATTCGGGCCTTGACCTTTTCCTCGCCCCGCCCCAACCCTGAGGAGGAGGAGTTAAACTGGGGAGCTTGAGCTGGGGGAGAGCTGGGGGAAAGCTGGGGGAAAGCTGGCGGGGCGGGGGGGGGGGGCGGGGGGTCCTGGGTCTACGACCGCGCGAGCATTTTGGGGGTGAGGAAACTGACGTCGGGAAAGAAACTAGAGACAAGGACGAGATCCAAGTACCAGATTGCACGCAGGACCTATTCTTCGCAGCCAAGGCTTTGCCCCTCGCGCTGGAAGGGCTTGTTTGCATGTTTCTAGAGCTGCTTTCGCAGAGGGATAATGCCCTGAATAGTTGGTTACCGGCCACACACTGGGTGGCACCGGTGCTGTTTTGTTATGCAACGGTAGTCTCCAGTCTCCGGAAAGTAAAGGAGGCCTCGGTGCAAACGGCAATCACGGGTCCAAGCGAACACCGCATATAATCTTCCACCCACTCCGTCAACACCAAGCCTCTTAAAATAAAGTTTAAGTCATGAGAATGTGACCTGCCTTGTTTCGTCTTTAGAAGGCAAAGTGTTACTGTGTATATAGTACATATAGTACCTGATCAAGGCCCCATTTCAAAACTAAAGAATGAGAAAGGAAGCATAGGGACTACCTTGTCTACCTCTCTTCATTCCTTCTTTCAGCAGGTTTGCCCGACACTCTCCTACATCCCTATGGGGGAAGGATGAATAAGAAATGATCTCCTGCCTTTAACTGGCTCTCTGTCTTAAGGAAAGTAAGATCCAGAAAGTTTGTATGCCTTGTCCGAAAATACAGAGCCGCAAAACTAGAAACTTATCTTTCATTCCTATGTTTTCCGTAACAATTTCAACAAGTAGACAGCTAGAATAAGAGATCAGTAGCATCTGGGGTGCCATGAGATTTTGGAAAGGCAAAAGGATTCTTCTTCCTTCTGTCCTACTACCAAATGAGACAAAGGTTTTAAAAGCTTCTGAGGTCCCACACGTTTGGAAAAAATTCTCATTCTGCCAGTTATCGGTAATCATGGTGCTTGTCCAGACTGGTGTGTTGTAAGGATTAAAGAGTTAACAATGTATAAACTCAGTACCCTGCCTGCTTCATGAGAAGCATTCAAGAAATGGTAACTAATAAACTTGAGGAGATGACTGTGGGATTAGATAGTAGTAATACAAGTAGACAAGGATTACTTCTTCACCTGGTCCCTCTTCTACTAGACTTCTCTTACTTGTCCTCTGTTACAATATGAAGTATGTGTCCTTTCTCTTTTCTTAATAAGGGACCACCCTTTCTCCAATGATTTTTTTTCTCCTACTGTCTGAATCTTATGGATGATGGAACAAGAACACAGAAAGATTATAAAAATCCCAACTTTAGAATTGAAAGGAACTGACACTGTCTACAAGCAAAGGAATTGAAACTGAGAGAATTGATTAATCCAAAATGACACAGCTAGTAATTACACAAATTCTCAGTCTAGCACTCCATCCACTATATCCTGCTACAGTTCCCTTTTGAGTTCAATGTGGCCTTTAAATTACAAAATAATTCAAAATGTATACACTTTTCCAAGAGCTGTTTTAACTTGCACATTCGTGGACTGAAGTTGTGTTGACCAAGGATCTAAAAAGGAAAATGTTATTGAAACCTGATGATTCTATTAAAATGCTGACCCAAAGGAAATTAAAAGTTCTTTGCCAACTTCAGTCAGTACTAGGGTCTCAGCTCACACCTAAACAGCCCACATAATACAAAAAGATACTTGTAAATAAGAGACCCGAATGGCTCAGAACTTCAGTTCATGATGGGAGCTATCTCAAAGCAGTTATAACTACTCCTCAAGTGAATTCTGAAACTTTTTGCAGACATTTCTGGTTCTCATGAGATTGGAGGTGATACCAAGAACTTTAATTCCCTGAAGACCAGGGATGCTAATCATCTACAATTCTTGGGACAGTGATGCCCAATAAGCATTATCTTATCCCTAACCACTGTGTGCACTGACCAAGGTGGCTGGCATATAGATATGAAGAACCAGCCCACCCCATCCCTCCCATGGAAAGATTCCTTTGGAGGGTGGGATATGAAATGAAGGATATGAGATGTTACCCAATCAGAAGATTCTCAAACATGTGAATCTCCACTTGAGTCTGAGTGGTTATATAAAAATATCTATGGTCCTGCCCTGATGGCTGTGAAGCTGTTTTGTTCTGTTAGGAAGATGGCCTGAAGAAGGGCTGGTTGAGAGGCAAAAGGATAAATTGTTGAGCCGCCCTAAGAAAGGAAAACTGAGAAGCAGTATTCCGAAGGGGCTTCTAGGTACCATCTCAGGACCATGTCAGAGGATACTTGAATATGTCACTGCCTGGAATATGGCCAAGACCTACCACTTTCTAAATTTCTTGGGCTGGTGATCTTATGTAAAAAATTTAGACTAATCCCAGATCCCCAGACCAGGTCAATTTCAGGGTTTCTTTTTTTTTTTCCCCCAATATTTATTTATTTTTGGCTGCGTTGGATCTTTCTTGCTGTCCCTGTGCTTTCTCTAGCTGTGGTGAGTGGGAGCTACTCTTCGTCGTGGTGCGCAGGCTTTTCACTGTGATGGTTTCTCTTGTTCCAGAGCATAGGTTCTAGGCACGCAGGCTCAGTAATTGTGGCACATGGGCTTAGTCGTCCTTCAGCATGTAGGACTAGGGATCGAACTTGTTTCCCCTATGTTGGCAGGCAGACTCTTAACCACTGGACCACCAAGGAAGTCCCAGTTTCAGGGTTTCTTGTCTAATACTTGAAAATAAATTGTCCAAAGAGACATATGTCTGTGCTCTGCTTAGTCGCTTGGTCATTTCTGACTCTTTGTGATCCCGTGGACTATAACCTGCCAGGCTCCTCAGTCCATGGAGAATCCCCAGGCAAGAAATACTGGAGTGAATTGCCATGCCCTCCTCCAGGGGATCTTCCCAACCCAGGGATCAAACCCAGGTTTCCCACACTGCAGGCAGATTCTTTACTAACTGAGCCACCAGGAAAGGAGACATAGATACTGACAAAACAAAAGATTTTATTGGGGAGGGGCAATTGGGCAGACAGCAGGAGGGTTAGAAAACTCAGGAGAACTGCTCTGTAGCAGTCTCAGGTTTATGGTAATAGAGTTTGTTTCTGGATTGTCTCTAGCCAATCATTCTGACTCAGGATCCTACCTGGTGACTTGAGCATCTTTCAGCCAAGATGGATTCCAGCAAGCATAATTCTGAGAGGTTGGTAGAAATATGGACGGATGTATTTGTCTCCTTTTGACTTTTCCTGAATTCATTCAGTTGGCAGTAGCTTGTTAGTTCTGCATTCCTTAGCAGGACCTCCTATTGTAAGAAAACCCATACAAGTGGTTACTGTCATGCCTGATCAGGGCATGCAGTTTCAGGCAGTGATTGCCCTAACAATTTTACCAGAGCAGCTTAGATTGCCTCCAGGTCTCCAAGTTCTTGAGATTCAGAATTGCCAGAGCCAGCAAGTGGCAAGATTATGCCACAACATAAGAAACCAAGCCGGGTCCTGGGGGGCTCCCAGGTAAGGAGTCGTTTCTGTCCTCCACTCCTTGTAGTCAAGACTTCAGCCTCCATGACCTTCCCTGAATTCCAAGGGTGGACTCACGGGAGGAGCTGGTTAAGGGAAGGGCAGCCAAGAAACCACCTGAGGCAAGATTAAAGTGATTAGAGAGGCTCATCAAGATTAGGAGGGCCCCCTGAGAAAAGATTAGTGAAGTGAAGTGACTCAGTCCTGTCTCTTTTCCACCCCATGGACTGTAGCCTACCAGGCTCCTCCATCCATGGGATTTTCCAGGTAAGAATACTGGAGTGGGTTGCCATTTCCTCTCCAGGGTGCAAACCCTGCTCACACCCTAACCTTGTCAGAAAACCCTTCAACAGATTCTCCCATTGTTGGTATACATAGTTTTTCAAGCCAGAATCCTGGGGTGTATCCTTTTGCCAGACCCAGTAATAAAGCTATCCTGTTCTACTTCACCCAAAACTGTCTCCAAGATTCAGCCCCGGTGTACAAAGAGGCTGAGCTTTAGGTAACATAACTGATTCAGAGAATAAACAGAATCCAAATTGATATTAGAATACATTATATGACAGTAGCAACTTGTAGTAGAAAGCTGTTGGATGTGCATGCAAACTGTGATGACCTCTTTTCTCTACAAACCATTAGCAACATTCTAGCTGGCCCCCAGCAGCCGTTTCTTCCCCAGATTACCATGTCCTTGAGCCCTCACACCTCATTGATGGGACAAGAGGGAGACACTGGACCAGGATCGGCCAATCAGATTCTCTCTATCAGGAATTTGAAATTGGAACTCGGTGAGTTGGTGGAAAGGGCTCACCAAGTGGCTCAGCAGTAAAAAAAAAAAAAATAATAATAATCCACCTGCCAATGCAGGGAATGCAGGAGACTTGGGTTCGATTCCTAGGTCAGGAAGATCCCCTGGAGGAGGCAATGGCAACCCACTCCAGTATTCTTGCCTGGGAAATCCCATGAACAGAGGAGCCTGGCAAGCTCACAAAGAGTAGGGTCACAAAGAGTAGGACACAACTGAGCTGACACAGTTGAGCATGCACAACTGATGCATGAGTTGGTGGAATAGGCTGCCAACCACAAATTGGCACTTGCCATCTACCTCTACAAGGATTAGATCAGCAGCAGCTGAGCTTCAACACCTGCTGAAAGGAGTTGGAGATCAGGAATGAGGCACTCTGTCCTCTGGGGAAAACTGGTGAAACTGTCTTCCGATTGTTAGACCTTCTTAAGAGAAGATTTTATGAGCCCAAGTCTTGCATTCCCTCATGTCTAGAAAAGCACTAAAATCATTACAGTGACATCTGCTCCTTGTGACTAGCAGCAAGCCTCTGCCAAAAAGGTGTGCTTAACTTCACGCACCTCCCCCTTCACTAAATCATATATAACACTCGCCTTCCCTCTACCTCTTTGGAGCAGTTTCTCAGAGCTATCTGAAATGCTGACTCCTGGGCCAAATAAAACTTAACTCACAACTCTCACATTGCGCCTTTTTTTTTTTTTTTTCAGTTGACAAGACCTAAGCTGTGTGCTTGAAAGTGAATAATAGAAATACACAAAAAGAGATGACCTTTGTAGGGCACTCATGAAAAAGAGATGATCCCCATCTGTAGTAAGTGGACCATAAAGCAGAGAGAGGCAAAGATAAGAAGCCTGAAGGCATGGGAGAAAGTGATTTCTGTCATCCTGAGTCATCCTAGTTGTTCAGCTTTCCTTAGATTCCGTGGAATTCTCCAAGCTCCATTCAAAATACGTTATCTCAGGACTTCCCTGGAGGTTGAGTGATTGAGACTTTGCCTCCCAGTGCAGGGCATGCTGGTTTGATCCCTGGTCAGCGAGCTAAGATTCCACATGCCTCAGGGCCAGGAAACCCGAAACATAAAACAGGAGCGATAGTGTGACAAATTCAATAAAGACTTTAAAAATATATATGCTCCCCTTTTAAAAAAAAATACATTATCTCCTGGATGAAGTCAAAGAAAGGATCAAGTCATTTCAAAAATGAGGAGAAAAAGAAGAATAAAGTGAAAACTTGATTTCTAGATAGAAATGGACATCCTACTCTTAAATATAATGGAAACACCACAGCGGGGGAAAAAAGAAAAATGAGGGCACAAATGGATAGTTCACAAAAGAAGGAATATTTAGTTAACCAACAAACATTGAAAGATGTATACCACTCATAGATAAAGAAGTGGATTAAAACAATAATAAGGCATCATATTTGCCTAATCAGAGTGGCAAAGGTTTGAAAAATATGTAATAGCTTTTGTCGGCAAGATTGTAGGGAAATGGGTACTCTCAAATATCACTGCTTCTGGGAATGGAAATTGATATATTTTTTCCTAAAGGTGAGGAGATGTGGATTTAGATAAACTGGTATGAAGAACCTTTGAAATATTCATACACTCTGACCCCCAAATCCTAGGTTTATAAATGAACTTTTCATAGAGGCATTATAATAATGAAAGTTAAAAGGCTAAGAATAGCCCCAGTGTCCACCAGTAAGAAAACTGTTCCAAAAGAAACATGTGGGCAGGAATGGACAAAGTCCTTACTTTGTTTTTTCATTACTATATTTCAACTAAGCCTGTGGGCCACAACTACTAGCACCAGGCCTAAGTCCCCTGCTCAGCAACAAGAGAAGCTACTGCAGTGAAAAGCCACAGCACTGCAACTAGAGAGTAGCCTCCACTCACTGCTACTGGAGAAAACCTGTGCGCTGCAACGAATACCCAGTGCAGCCAAAAATACATTTAACTAAGATAAATGAATAAAAAATAATTTGCAACAAAAATCTTTAAAAAAATAATTTTCTCCAACTAATAAAAATAAATGAAAAAAAAAAGAAAGAAAAAACATTCAAATAAATGGAGCAGTGTACCAAAAAATAAATAAATAAAAAATAAAAAAATAATTTTACCAACAGTGCACAGGTGTTCCAGTTTCTCCATATCCTTGCTAACACTGGTTATTTTCTGGTTTTTGATAGTAGCCATCTTATAGGTGTGAGGTGATACCTGATTTGTTTTGATCTGCACTTCTGTGTGTCCTAGAGGGAGCATTCTTTCTGGGAAGTGCATAGGGGAGGTTGAAGAGCAGCCTACTGCGGTGAGCAGTAAATCTGCTTTCAACATCCATCCAGAGCTTGATGGGAAAGGACCAGATCCCCCACATTTGGGGGTTTTCCAGTTTCTCTACCCTGTTATGCTCCTACTCAAGAGGTACAAAAACAGAAGGCACCAACCTGTTATGCTATTTTTTCTTCTGGACAGAGCATCTCATGCTCTGGGTCTTTTTTTTCCCTAATGTGGTGAATGGGACAATGGAAAAGAAAACCTGTCTTTATTTCATGTCCCTTGGTCCCTTGACCTAGATACATCCAGAAATAGTACATTATTTTCTTCTTTCTTCTTCTTCTTTTCTTGGCCCCTTTAGTTTATCAGAGCCAAAGCATCTTCTGAGAACACACCAATTTCTTACCTCTCCCCCTTGTTAAAAAAAAAAAAAACCCTCACAACTCCTCTTGTTCATTATAATCATTCTTTTCACTCTTCCTCCAACTGGGTCACAATATCTAAAGGATCATGCTATCTGCACCTAGGCAGAGGTAAGACAGAAAAGGAGGAGAAGGGGAACAAATATATAATGAACCCCTACAAGGTGCCAAATGTCCATCACTTTAAATGCTTTGACTATTAAGTTCTCAGGACAAAATGAGATCAGCACTATTGTTATTACCATTTTGCAGATAAGGAAATGGAGAGAGATGGTTTAAATAACTTGTTCAAGGAGACATGGATATTGAGAAAGCCAGAATTTAAGCCCAAAACTCAGAAATAAAACTGTGGCTTTTTAGTCACTCCAGATTTTTTTCATTTCTATGGAGTTTACCTCTTCCTCATGTTCAAATTGATCGTGTTTCTATGGAGCTGTCATTGCTTTCTCTTATTTCTCTTACTTTGATAATTTGGTTAATTAAGAAAGAAAGCTGAGCACCGAAGAATTGATGCTTTTGAACTGTGGTGTTGGAGAAGAATTTTTAGAGTCCCTTGGACTACAAGGAGATCCAATCTGTCCATCTCAAAGGAAATCAGTCCTGAATATTCATTGGAAGGACTGATGCTGAAGCTGAAACTCCAATACTTTAGCCACCTGATGTGAAAAACTGACTCATTGGAAAAGACCCTGATGCTGGGAAAGATTGAAGGCGGGAGGAGAAGCAGACGACAGGGGATGAGATGGTTGGATGGCATCACCAACTCAATGGACGTGAGTTTGAGTAAGCTCTGGGAGTTGGTGATGGACAGGGAGGCCTGGCGTGCTACAGTCCATGGGGTCGCAAAGAGTCAGACAGGACTGAGCAACTGAACTGATCAGTATTAATACAATATCTTACATTTGTATAATAACACCTTATAGTTTTTCAACACATTCTCGTATCTCATTCTCAGAAATAAAACAGGCATTAGGTTATATTGTTAATATTTATGTATTTAGCTACACCAGTTCTCATTTGCAGCATGTGGACTCTAGTCCCCTGTCCGGGGATCTAACCTGGGTTCCCTGCATTGGGTGCTCAGAGTCTTGAACACAGGTTCAATCACCGATCCAGGAAGATTCCACACGCCACGGGGCAACTAAGCCCATGTGCCACAGCTCCTGAGCCCACGTGCTGCAACTACTGAAGCCGGAGTGCCTCGAGCCTGTGCTCCGAAACCAGAGATGCCACCGCAGTGAGAATTCCACGTTCTGCAACAGAGGGTAGTCACTGCTCGCCCCAACTAGAGCAAACCTGTACACAGCGTTGAAGACCCAGCACGACCATCGACATATATATACACCAGTCTGCATCTGCTCATTCCAATCTCCCCCACCCCGTTGGCTATATAGTATTCTAATTTAGGAATTTATTTTACTTGACCAGTTTCCAATTGGTGGATTCTGACACCACTTCGAATTTTTTATCGTCACAGAAATTATTGGGAATTCCCTGGCGGTCCAGCGGTTAGGACTCTGTGGTCTCATTGTGGAAGGCCCAGGGTTTAACCCCTAGTCGGGGAACTAAAATCCCATAAGCCTCACAATGCAGTCAAAAAAAAAAAAGGAAAAATTAACTCCAATTTAAAGATTAGGGAACTGAAACTCCAAGAAGCTACAAGATCCCTTTTTTCAAAATCCAAGTCTAGAACTAAACTGCTCAGGCCAAACCCCAAACTTCTGACTCTTAAAACAATATTCTTTCCAACTGGACCACAGGGACAAGAAGCTGGAATTACTAATATAGGGTATGCACTTGACAACTAAAAGTGAGAATTTCTTTCTTAACTGCCCCATTTCTTAAAAATTTAAGCATGAGGACTTCCCTCGCTATCTAGTGGTTAAGACTCCATGCTTCCACTGCAGGGGACATGGGTTCAATCCCTGGTCAGGGAGCTAAGATCCCGCAAGCCATGAAGTGTGGCCAAAGGGGGGAAAAAAGAAATCAAGCATATACTTGCCACAAAGCCCAGCCATCCCACTCCGATGTACTTACCCCAAAGAAACGAAAGTTTACGTCCATACACATACTTGTACGTGAATGTTCATAGCAGGTTTTTTTTTTTTTTTAAGATTTATTTATTTATTTTATTTTATTGGCTGTGGTGGGTCTTAATTGCTGTAAGCAAGCTTTCTCTCATTGCAGAGAGCGAGGGCTACTCTTCGTTGCGGTGTTCAGGCTTCTCATTGCAGGGGCTTTTCTTGTTATGGAGTACAGGCTCTAGGTGAGTGGGCTTCAGTAGTT